ATGGACACAATAAAGTTACAAAAATCTTTGCGGCAACCATTTCGAGTTTTTTGACTGAACACATTTTAGTGCTGTTCAAAAACTTGCTTAGTACTCAAAAACAAGATATGTTAGAGTTTTTTGAACACACAGTTAGAAAGAGCTTCCAACGTAGACCCTGAATAAGTGTTTTTGATTTTTCCGGAATATGTTATATCCCATGAAAAATGAAGCGACATTTTTCCAGGAACTTTTGCATCACCCGTTATTTTGATGGGAACACTTCATTAAACAGTTATTCGAACTGTTCTATGCAATAATATAATTCAGTTCAAGACGAAACGTCTTAAACGAGTTGGATAGAACTGTTTTGTTGATTCGCTTCTAAAATTAGATGGTTTGGTTTATCGCATGTGACTGTTTCAATTGATTACTAAAAAGCTATTTTGTAAAATGAAACGAATTAGCTAATGTGACGAGTCGAATGCTGAAATTTGTTCTTCTAAACTTAAATCGCAGTGTATATCTGCTTTCATGAAATGCTTAGCATAGAAATTATACCAATTGGTGTGCAGATTTGAATAAAAAAAGCGAACTAGAACTTTTAAATTTAATATCACAAGCCTCAAATTTGAAAAAATTGCAATAGAAGCACAACTAATAATAAAAATCTGTATTTTGAAAACGTTTATTCTCTATTGGCGGCTAGTTTTTCGTGCTAAGTCTATGTGCCAACGCGCGATTTCATGTGCCTCTACAATGTTATCCATATTTTCCCTTAACTCGTTGGATTCCCTTAAACGGTTACCACATGGCATCGCTAACCCTCTACTGAAAGCAAATGTCCATGTTTAGAAGAGCTACCGAGACTTATTCTTTCGGGTTTTATATTTTCTATTGGATCTATTTATTTCTTGGAGATTTGTTAATTATGATAATATTTTAGAACCAAAAACAACAACGCCAATGTATCTAAACTCTCAGTCACACTCACATATATGCCCTCGCCCATATCATAATTTGATTAAGGAACTCTATGAGATTTATTTCAATATGTTGAGACACTTATTAATCATCATCATCATCATCATGTCCCATAGGCTTAGCGCCCGTTGGGGCTAACCATTTACGAGATCAGATTTTTCCACGCCTGTCGGTCTTGCGCAAGATGAAACAGATCTTGTCCACTGCGTTGACACCATTCGGTTATATCATCCAGCCACTCTCTGCATGGACGCCCCCGTCTGGATTTTCCATCCATTTTAGCAAAAACAACGTGTTTAATTAATCTAGTGTCGTCCATTCTGCAGATGTGACCAAATAACCTTAGCTTTCTTCTTTTGATAGTATCTATTATCGTCTCTTCTTTTGATATCCTTTTCCTAATATCCTCGTTTCGTATCATGTCCTGCCAATTAATTTTTAGAATCCGTCGGTAGCATTTCATTTCAAAAGCCAATAGTTTTTTCCTGTCTGCCTCTTTTAAAGTCCATGTCTCTGACGCGTATAGTAGGACACTGAAGACGCATGTTGTTAAAATTCTGAGTTTGTTTTCAATCTTCAGTTTTTTGCTGTTCCAAATATGTTTCAATGAAACCAATGCACCTGTCGCTTTTCCTATTCTCCTTTTGATTTCCTCTGAGCAGTTGTTACCCCATGTCAGCAGACTTCCTAGATATTCAAATTTTTCTACATTTTCGATGGTTCCACCTGCTACATTGATTTTACTTTCAATATTCCTGTCTCCAAAAACCATGGTTCTGGTTTTATTTATATTTAATATCAGTCCAGCTTGTTCGGCCGCTGTCTTTGTTAGCTCAATTTGGCTTTGAAGTGAGCTAAGATCTTCATCTATAAGATCAATGTCGTCCGCGAATCTTAGGTTATTTATAACGATTCCACCGACATTGATTCCGCAGGTGTTCTGCCTCACCTGATCCATTACCCTTTCTAGATATGCGATGAAGATGAGTGGTGATAAAGGATCGCCTTGTCTTGTTCCTACGTCTGTTTGAAACCACTCGCCATTTTCTTTACCAATGCGAACAGCTGACTGTGACTTTTCGTATATTTTCTGTAGCAGGGTGACCATTTTTGTGTCAACACCATAGGATTTTAGCATAGACCAAATAATTTTATGTTTGATGGTATCGAATGCTTTTTGAAAATCTATAAAGCAGTTGTATATTTTCTTACCCTGTCTTTTTGCTTTTTCAGCCAATAATCTAAGCGTTAGTATCTGATGTATGGTACTCCTGTCTGTTCGGAACCCTGCCTGCTCTTCTGAGAGGTACGGATCCAGATGATTTTTTAATCTATTTCGCAGTACTATTAGGAGTACTTTTCCTGTATGATTAATCAGAGAGATCGTTCGATAGTTCGAGCAATTGCTGAGATCTCCTTTTTTCGGAATTGGTACCAGGATGGATTTACCCCAATCCTCTGGAATTGTACCTTCATTCCATGCTTTGTTACAGAGATTATGGATCTGCCGTGCTAGTGGTTCGCCCCCAGCTTGTAGCATTTCGGCCGTGATCCCATCTGATCCTGGACTCTTATTTCTTTTTAATGCATGTATAGCTGCTTCGACCTCAGAGTACAGAACATCCGAGGAATTTCCGTCTACGGGAGGTGCGATGTCTTCAAGTTCTTCTGCCATCCCGTCTCCACCCCCAGGATCTTTATACAGACTGCTACAATATTGTGTCCACCTTTGCTTTATGTCATCCTTGGACTGTAACACTGCGCCCTGCTGATCTCGTATCACATTCAACCGAGGTACAAATTCGCTTTTTAACATTTTCAATAGGCTGTATGCTTCTCTGGTATTTCCAATGTTTAGACCTTTTTCAGCTTGTTCGCATTGATCTTGTATCCAATGCTCTTTATCCTGTCTTGCAGATTTCTTGACTCTCCGGCATGAGTCTTTATATTGCTGTGTGTATTCTATGGAAATGTTTTTCATCTGTTTTAGTTTTCGTTTTTCATCAGCAAATTTTAGTGTCGCTTCGGAAATCCACGGTTTTCTAGTTTTTCTTTTTGCAGGTATCGTTGTCTCTACTGTGTTTTGAATTGCCTGTCTTATATGGTTTGAATGGACTTCCAGATTACATGATGGCTCTATGTTTTCCATGGTTTTTATTAGTGTAGTACTGTATGATAGTCTTATTTTCTCATCTTTCAATCGGTTTACATCAACGCTATAGGATTGTTGCGGCTTGTTGTACATTTTCTTTAGTCGCAGTTTGATGTTGCATAAGACTAATGAGTGGTTTGAGCTTATGTCTGCACTCTGAAATGTTCGACAATTGATGACCGACGTCTTCCATCTTCTTTGAATGAGAATCAGATCAATCATGTTCTTGTGTATGCCATCTGGTGACGCCCAAGTCCACTTTCGATTAGGTTTATGTTGAAACCTTGTGTTACATATGTAGAGATTGTGTGTCGCCGCAAATTCTAGGAGGCGTTCTCCTCGTTCGTTTCTATCGCCATAACCGTATTTACCCATAACGGATTCCCAATCTTTATTATCATTACCAATTTTTGCGTTCCAATCTCCTGTCAGAATGATTACATCTTTTTTATCTGTCTTTGTTATTACTTCCTCAATATCATTGTAGAATGCTTCAATTTCATCTTCTGACGATGCAGAAGTTGGCGCATATGCATGTATGATTGAGATTTTAAACGGTGCTGCATCGAATCGTGCCGAAATTATTCGTGAACTTATTGGATTGTATCCTATCAAAGCCTTTTTAGCTTGTGCACTTAGTAAGAAACCTACACCCCTCATATGTACGGTCTCTTCTCCTGACCAGATGAAATCACCATTCGATGTTTCACCTTTGCCTGTCCATCGCACTTCAGAAATACCAATTATATCGTACTTGAAACGTTTCATTTCGTTTCTAAGTAGTTCTAATTTTCCAGCAGCCCAAAGGGTCTGCACATTCCATGTTCCTACTGTCAGAGTATTTTTAGCAGGTATTAGTTTTTTCGTGTTTTTCGTCGTATACTTTGTATGTAAGTTTTGTAAGTTTTTTCCAGTAGCCAATTTTTCGACTCTGTCCTGGTCACTCGGCAGAGGACGCGGACCTTGTTTTCCCGGGCGACGTCCGAGCCGGTATGTTTTCGTGCTAATGTCGTTCATGGTTAGTTTCTTTCGTCTTTTTGTTTTTACAGACGGCGGTATCTGCACCCCTTCCGTCCAACACTCCTCCTTTGTCCGGACTTGTGACCGGCATAGAAACCACAAAATAGTGGTCTCCATGGTAGAGTTACACTTATTAATAAGTCTCAATAACTCTTGAGAAAACAAGAAATGCTAGTAGATGCTGGAGAGTGTGAGTGTCGGTGAAGAGATGGTTCACACCCACGCCCACACCCTTCGACTACATTATAGTAGCCATTTCTCAGTTCTGATTGATGCATTAAATTTATAAGTGTAGACGCATGTAGATTTAATTCGAAATTAATGCCGAATTGTTTTTCTAGTGTAGACAAGGCCTAACAGAATCGGTTAAAACAATTTACTCTTTTATATACTATCTTAAATCCTTAACTTTTTTAAAATTAACTCTATATGATTATTGTTTTAAAAAAACAAACGATGGCAATTAAAATTTTTTTTTTCATAATATAATAAGTTAGTGTAATAGATATTAAAACAATTGAAATACGAATAACTAAATAAAAAATAAGGAACATCTTCATTTGAATGAGAGCGCCCTCATCTTCGTGCTATGCTTGGCGTCTAAATTACACCAATCACTGAGTCAACAGATGATTCAAGTAAAGATGAGACAAAAGTAGAGACAATAACTATTGTTTATCGGACAGTAGTACAACTATTAGTAGAAGTAATAAAAACATTTATTTTCTCAGGAGATTTTAAATAAATAGATTTATTCGAAGATAAATTATCTAATTTATTAAATCAGTTGTTTGGCATTACAAAAAAAGAAAATATTTATATTAGTAAATAGTTAGTTGAATATGTTCGACATATAATAAATAAAATGAGAAAAGTAATACTTTTTATAGCTGCTAGTATAGATGGTTTTATAGCAAGAGAAGATGGAAATATTGATTGGTTACCACCAATTAATAATGAAAATAATGATGATTATGGATATAAATCATTTTATGAAAATATCGATGTTACGTTAATCGGAAGAAAAACTTATCAACAAATATTAACTTTTCCTGGTCACTTTCCTTATCCAGATAAGCTATCATACATTAAAGACGTATATCAAAACGGCACAAATGCTCACACACATACACAAATCCACAAGCTTATCAATATTTTGTGAAGCACAATCTAAAGAAATGTTGAAGTACATAGGAGTTAAAATGAAGACCGTCCCTTCCTCCACAGAATGTGACAAACATTTTTGATATACAATCCAAGACTATATCATTAAGATGCTGTTTGAATATATGAACTACTTCCTTATTGCAGTTCTAGGGAATTAAGTAAAGGATCATGAAGAAATGTGTCTCAAAATAGATCGAACCAAACAATTTTCATGCGCTTGGCAACAATAGCTACATTGTGTTTCACATTTTAATCTCACAGGAATTGCACTAACAGCTTTTTTTCTCGTTTGTTAAGAATTTTTTACGTTAAATTTCTTTCGATGACCACTTTCAAATATCTCTCGTTTAATACCAAAAAAAAAATTGGCAATATATTTTAGTGAATAGGATCTTTCTTGAAATAAAATTTTTCAAAGCGAGATTGAAAAATGCAATTGTTAACATGGACATCGTTTAAATATGATCTCGAAAAAAAATTATGTTTTTTCTCATGAAAAACAAAAAGCAAATGAATTTGTTGAGTTTGTTAATGATGATGTTTATGAATTTGTTAATCAATTAAAAAGCCAATCTGGTAAAGATATATGGTTAGTTGGTGGTGCTCAATTAAATAAAACATTACTTAACTTAGGTTTAATTGATGAAATTATATTGACTATAATTCCAATTGTTCTTGGTAAAGGTATTCATTTATTTGGACAACAATCTATTGAACAGCAATTTAAATATTCCGATACAAAAATATTTCCATCTGGTTGTGTTCAAATCAAGTATACTATTTAATTAACATTTATTTAATAAAGTTTTCTTTTCATGTATTATCTTTTATTTGTGAAATATGATTTTTAAGAGAGAAATTTTTATTTAAATCACTAACAATGGAAGGGTATGCATTGTAACTCAACAATATTGAACATATATGATTGTCAAATTAAAGACCTCACTGACAAACTAACAAATTTAAAATATGAGCTGTTTTTGACGTGTACAAACTGAGATATTCAAATCTTAAGGCATTTATAGTCTATGTCATGTGCCAACAATTGAAAATTTCAACAGGATTTGTTTTTCTCTTTTTGTCATGGTTGGAGAGAGCCGAGTGTGGATGTGGATGTGAGTTTAAATGAGATTGCAGAAAAGAACAGCACATCAACATCTTCACACCGTGCGGCGATCACATTTGAAAGTCTCCTTCAAAATGTAAATCTTTTTTTATCGACAAAGCAGAAAACTATTGACACTTCTAGCATTGATTAGAATGTTATTCGTAGTTCTGGCCTTTTTCGAGTCATGTGCTTCATAACTTGATTCCTGTTATGTTGTTCACCTTTATAAAAAGAGACACATCGCAAGTAACGAATAATGACAATTAAAAAAAAACAAACCTTTATTTTACTCAACGAACTGATTGTACGATTCATGCCAACAGAGGAGACTAGAAACTCAAGACCGATGGACTAGAGTCATTCTTGAGTAGTATATGTCTAAATTTGTTTCAATAGGTTCAATTAAATCGAGATCAATTCATCATAACTGCGATAAGATCAAAAATAAAATTGAGAAACAAAATATATATCTAACATAAGATGCAAAAGTAATAGCATAAAATATTGACCCCTATTTCTCTTTGGTAGAAGGATGCTGAAAGAAAACCTTTTTTACCAAAAGATAGAGCTTTTTCTCCTCTTTCGAATCGTATATAACTTATTTTTATAACACGTTTATAAACGAAACGATGTAACAGAAAAGAGAAACAACCTTAAAAGAAACCCGCACTTTTCTATAAAAGGATCGTACAAACTATCAATCCTTTTATCTCTTCGATAAATAGGTTCTGAAAAGGCTATTTTTTTATCAGTTGATAGGACATTTTCTCCTCTTTCAAACAGTATATGATTCATATTTGTTACACATTAGTAAGTGAAACGAGACGGAAAAAATGAGAAACACTGCGAGTGTGGATTTTGGTGTGGTAAACAAAGAGGACAAGATCCACACTCACATTCCAACACGCATTCCCACATCCATCCGCACCCACACCCTGTAGTTAATCCTATAAAAAGTATTGCTTTCGATATAAAATCAAAGAACAAAAGGAGCGAATCAATGCATTGATTCTTCTTTTTCTGTATAATAAAAGGCTTTTGTAAGCATTCCGATATAATAAAAAAAAAAAGAAAAACTCCGGCCTGTGAAAACGTATACATTATGATTGTTGAAATTTCTCTAGCTTATGTTAATATTGGTAAATTCTCACTATTTTGTCTAGCTAGTGCCTTTGGTGGTTGTAGAATTATTCTGGCTAATGATTTAAGCTTATCAATAACGATGAATTTCTGTAAAACAGAGTGTTCTTCGTAGATTAAAATGGATCCTGATGGATCGTAGAATCCATAAGGAGTCGCTAGAAGCCGCTCCCCTCCCTTGGATCAAGCAGTGGTAGACGGACCTAAGCATTGTCTGCTCTGAAAAAATGGTAATGATTCACAGGATCGCTTTCATTATCAGGAAGTATAATTTTGAATTGGTTTGTGTGCATGCAATCGCGTTTCAATTTCAGATTTGTACTCATTTTATTTGATGAATGATCAGCTGACCAAGAATTCGAAGAAGAATGCTCTGAAGAGATCAGGTATCTTAATACATCATGGAAACGTATACAAGCAATTCGGTTCCTCAGCTTAAAAGCTACAAAACGGAGCTCACGAGGGAGCATTTTTAACTGATCAATCGTTTTTCAGTTTTGACTCGGTAAATTATATGGACCCTATTGAGACATGAAAAAGTTCAAAAGGATGAGTTCCATTAGGTCTTCTGTCCAGACCTACAGGTATTTTACTATAATTTTTGCCTGTAGTAGGTTATGCACTGAAAAAATTTACTATAGTATTTTGGGTTGAGATTAAGCCTTCAGATAGTTCTACTTATGAATAAAATATTCTGAAAATTTCAGATCAAAATAACCCTTCTTTCTTGAGATGTTGAAGTCCCAAAAATTTCATAAAATGCTAGGATTTTCTGTTTTTTCCGACTTTAATATCTCAGGGAAGAAGGGTTATTCTGATCTGAAATTCTCAGAATATTTTATTCAGAAATAGAACTATCTGCAGACTTAATCTCAACTCGAAATACTATAGTACATGTTTTCAGTGCATATCCTGCTACAAGCAAAAATTGTAGTAAAGTGCCTGTAAATCTGGACAGAAGACCTAAGGGGACTCATCCTTTTGAATTTTTTCATATCTCAATAGGGCCTATATACTGCATCGAGTCTGAACTGAAAAACGATTGATCAGTTAAAAATGTTCCCTTGTCAGCCACATCTATATGCTTAATCCAGAAATCCAATAACTGAGCCATTGAGACTAAAATAGCAAATGAACTCAAAAGTGATGGAACACTTCTAGAGAGTCCCTTGCTAGTATGGTAAGAAATTATAAGAGACATGTTTGACTCTTCATAAATACTTTCTCTTTAGCTCTTTTCGCAATGTAGACGAGCAAAGTCTGATAAGCAATCAAGGAACAGAACACATTATTCACTGCCAGCAGTAGATTGTGTTTCGATTGAAACAAATACAGCAATATCAATATAACTCTTATATCCTCTTCAAAGGATATCAGATCACGAGCTCTACTAAAGCTATTATTCGTATCTACCTAGTTGTTGTTGTTCGTTGTATTGAATAATAAAATAGATTTTTCTTATTCTCTTAAGACATGCTCCCGCACTTTTTTTTGAGAAAGTATGGAATTAAAAAATGCATGTCATAGACTTCTCATTCTCGTTCGGCCTAACAAGTGCCAACTGTTAGATGTCTTTCACTGTCTACGTAAGTCATTGTTGATAAAACCTTTTCCAGCACAGTTCACCTAATTGAACATATTCAAACTTTCTGGTTTTTCATGCGGCAAAGTTCATATCAACAAAAAATGAAATAATTCAAAAAACATATGGATATTGCTTCCAGTTACAGCAAATAATAGTATGAGATTTTGTCGTAAGAATGCTCAGACTGCGAAAATTATGGTCACATAATTAGACTTAGCTATGCTCGTCGTTATCAATTAGAAGTCAATAAGAGACTTTCTTTAACTTTGAGAGTCTTTAGATTGTTCATGTCGCAACAACGAATAAAACATCATGTTATACTCGTCTATCAATCGGACGATAAACAACTAGTCACACGGGTGTGCAATGGACTAATCACATTAGGTAATCATGTTTCGATGAATGATTATACTGGCATCAATGACTATACTTTAGAAAAGTGAGTAAAGTATTTTTTCAACTTAAATAGAACAGACTCATCACTTTTTCATGAAATATAATTTCACTGATGATATAGGATGACATCAGATATTGCCAATGCATCGATTGTCTGCTGCTTTCTGACTCCACAGTATGAGACATCAGAAGCTTGTCGAAAACAATTATAATTAGTCAACCAAAAATATGTAGAAATTATTCCTTGTCTAGTGACTCCAAACTGGTCTTTGACTAGTGCCTGGCTCAAGTCTTTTATCCATGGTATCAGCTACGTCGATTTTCGTAGTACTGATAATATTCGAATGGATGGGTGTGGGTTGTTTCTAGCTGTTACATCCAATCAAACCCACACCACACCACACGCCATCCACACCCACACCTACACCCACACTCACGCCCACACCCACCCCACCCACACTCACACACCCACACTCACACTCACACCCACCCACACCCACCCACCCACACCCACACCATCACCCACACCCACTCCCACACCCACACCCACTCCCACACCCACACCCACACCCACACCCACACCCACACCCACTCCCACACCCACACACCCACACCACACCCCACACCCTTTAGTGACAATTTTCCATTGCGAAATTATTAATTATAGTAAACGATTATCTAGTCTTATTTCTACATCGGTAGGTGTCTTTACAAGTTCGCGCTTGGCATGTCGAACCGCAGCCGAATCATTCAATATTCCTTTCTTGAGCGTATTGTAAACGTAGAGAACAGCGGCAGCGAGTAGTGCCATTTCGAGACATATGATAAAAAAGATTTCAAGCATAAAATAGCCGTATCGATCAAGAATTAAACCGGTGAAAATATTCCTAGGAAATAAGCAAAACGTATAACTAATATTAGTCAGAAAGCAGAATTTCGTACATGATGGCAAGGCTCAAATTTTGAATCGATTGCATTAGTCCATAAGCAGTGCCCAACATTTGCTTGGGAACGAGATGTGCAACAAGTGGCCACAATGACGCAGCCAATATCGAATAAGTAATACCCATCAGGATGAGTGGCACGATTGGATGCAGCAAGAATAATGTGATTAGAGCATGTGCGATGATTGTGCCCGTAATACTACTAATGAGCCAATAAATATCGCGACCGATTCGGTCGATTACATGTCCAAGTATCGGCGAAAGAATGGCTGACCTGAAAACAGGATGACTCTCAACGTGCAATCGCAGTACTATGAAACTTACATGAGATAAATCAAACTATTACAAGCGTTTGACCATGCTGGCGACAATCCATATTTAGACTTGAACAGTAATTGTGCGGTAGCAATGAATGGGAATATGGTTACATAGTAGAAGGCACAAATGACATAGACACAATAGAGTGAAGCCGGAAAGTGTCGAACATCTATTCACTATGATACACAATAAGCTGAAACAGGACAAGATATAAGCCTACCTCGAAGATGGAATTCGTCGACTGAAGAAAACATGAAACAAGATTGCCGGATAAGTTGGGAGGAAAAGACAACG